CCCGTGCCCAGCAAGCTGAGCTGAGCTGCACTCTCAGCTGCCCACACTGCCCTTCCCTCCCATGTGTCCTGCTGCTGATGTTCCTGCCCGGCTGCTGCCTTGTGTCTGAGCTTCCCCTGATCAGCCAGGAGCTGTCCTGTGCTCGCTTCCTTTCTCATCCCCAGACCTCCCACACCCTGAGCACTGGACTAGGGGCATCACCTCTGCACGCCCTCCCCGGTGCCGGGTTCCAAGAGGTGTTGAGGGACTGGTCACTCTGCCACCTGGCTTGTGCAAGGCCCTGCCTGAGAGGAGCATGCATGTCTGTCACGTGGTGCCCCAGGCCCAGAGCCCAGTGCCTCGCTGCCCCTCCTCCTGTGTCCATCCACTCTGCCCAGTCTGCCGGGCACCGGACCCCTGCACACAGGGCTGCTACCCCAGCCTCCTTCCTCTTGGTTCATTGCTTCCTGGTCCCAGGAAGCAGACGTAGGTTGCTCAGACCACAGGGGAAGAACTGAGACAGCACAGCTGTCCTGGCACTGTGACTGAGGCCCAGGCCTGTGTGTCTCAAGGACACGTGCTGTTCCCACAGCCCAGGTGTGTTGGGGGTAAGTCACGGCTGGCAGGGCGGTAGTGGTTGGGGCTCGGGCGAACGCCAGCCTCCTCTGCACAGGATTGCCTCTTGAGCGGTGGGCTGTGCTTGGCCTTCGGTGGCATCTGGGTGCAAATGTGCACCTTTTCTGAGGCCAGCGTGAGCCGCTGGGGTCTGGGCGGGCCCTCGGCCCAGGGTTCTGCCTCCAGCCTGAGCCATGCTGGCTTTTGAGACATTGTCATGGGGCACTTGAAGCTCCAAAGCTGAGTGCTGCCTCTGCCCCACCAAACCCCACTCCTGGGCTGCAACTCCCTCTTCATAGCTTGGGGCTCTGCACCTCCCAGCTGTCTCCTGGGCTCGCCCCTTCTCTGCCCTCCTTGGTGACCACAGTGGGTTTCTAAAATGTAGATCTGACGTCACCTCTGCTTAGGCTCTTCTCTGCTCCCGGCACCCCCCGGGGGTGCTGGCACACAAGGCCACCAGCTTCTCGTCCCACTGGGCACTGCCTGCCTGAGGCTGCCTGCTTGCCGTGCCCCCCCCGCCTTGCCGTTCCTGCCCCTATGCGGGGCTTAGTCCCCATCTTCACACACTCATGCTGGTCAGTGCCCCGCCAGGCCTCTCACGGCTCAGAAAAGGCTTCTCGTAGAAGTCTGGGCAGTGGGAGCCTGGGAGCCCTGGTGGTGTGCTGGGCCCCTGGGCGGGCAGCACAGTGTCTTGTGGTGGTGGCTGAGGTGGATTCGCCCAGGCCTAATGTGCCAGTCTGTTTGTCTCATGAAAGCAAGTTTGTTTTCAAATCTAGTTCTTTGGGGAAATCATGTTCCCCACTGAAGAGGTGAAAAACACAGAGGTCCCATGACTCATCTGTCCCCAGGCAGTGGCTCCAGAAGCCAGCCATGGACTCTCTGAGGGAGCCTGGCAGGGAGACCTCCGCTCCTGAGGTTGGCGAGGGTCGTGAGCCCTGTGGAGTCACATGAGCGTCTGGGGGTGGTCGAGAGTCGTGGGCACTGCACGGTCGCTGTGAGCCTCCTAGGGTGGGCAAGGGTCACTGGAAGGGGCTTATGTTGGTGGAGAAGTACATCAAAGTGGCCCTTGGGAGGGGCTGTCCCAGAAGAGGGCAGAGCATATGGGGCCTGTGGGGCCAGGGAAGAATCCTGTGCCTCCCCCTAGAGCAGAGGCCGTGCTCCAGCCTTGACCCACTGGGACCCCCTCACTCCCCAGACAATCCATGAGCTGGTTACAGGCCAGGGGACCGAGGAGCAAGTAAGAGACCCTCATGACATCTGAGCTGCCCCAGCACAGGGTTCACCAAGTACTTCCTAAAAACGGTCTCAGCTAACCCCCAGGACGACTGGCTTTCAATACATCTGCAGGATCACATCCCTTCCCTGACGGCTGCTGTGCACATTCCTCCCAGTGCACAGCCCACCCGTGATGTCTCCCCTGCTCTTCCCCCAGCCCACTGCGCTCCGGCCGCATTGGGCGCCCTCCTCCTGAGCACACCAGGCCTGCCCCTGCCTCAGGGCCTTTGCATTGCTCTTCTCCTGGTCCAGGGGGACCTTTCTTCAGCTCTTCTGGCTGCTGCTTTCTCATCACTTCAGCTCCAGTTGGGAGAGGTCCACCCTGGTAACCCCAGCTGAAGTAGCTGTCACCTTCCAGAGGCTGTGTGGTGTCCCCAGCTCTCTGAGACGGTCATGTCTGCAATCCCAGTGACTCCCAGCAGGAGGTTGAAGGGAGTTTTTCCTATTTTCCCAGAATTGCAGGCTAGGCTCAAAGTTGAGGACAAAAGACACAGAGTCCTTCCTATGTCCCAAATTCAGGAGCTGAGGGGCTGGGGCTGACTGATGGAGAGGGGACACCTCAGAGAATGGCCCCACCCTGCCCCCGTTCCTCAGCAGCCGGTTTAAGACGCGTGTCCTTCAGGTGAGTGCAGTGTTTGTGGTGAGAAGCATTTCCTCTGTCCCCTGCCTGAGGCCTAGGGAAAGTGGTCTGCTAAGGCCCTGGACATCGTCCACACCCCGGCGGGTGAGCCCGGAGCAAGGGCGCAGCCCACACGTGCTGCACAGAGGCTGTTGCTGATGAGGTGGGAGGTGGGCCATGTTTATCAGCTCCGTGTTACAGGCAGACCCCTGCCGTTCACAGAAGAGGCATGGCTTGTCTGGGGTTCAGGCAAACAAGTGGCAAAGCTGGACTTTGAAGCCAAGCCCCTCTGACTGAAAAGCGGGATCATTTGCCACATCGGCTCCTGCCTCCCTTCTCTGCCCCTGACTGTTGGGCCTGGACTGGACAAGCCAGCGCAGCCGCCTTCCGGGCCTGGCATCTCAGGCAGGAACTGGAGACTGGGGAAGAGCTGCTGTGGGCAGTGTGGTAGGATGGCCACAAGCCGCAAGGGGAAACCTGCAGAGCGTTGCTGCAACTCTGAAGCTCACCTCCGGAGTATGAGTGTCCAACCCAGGTTACTTTATATTTCTCATCTGTTTCCTGTCCACCCCCCACCCCACTGACTTCCCCTTCCCAACAGCCAGCTTAAACAGGCTAACTCTATCGTGAGTGTGTGTGTGTGTGAGTGAACGTAAGGAAAAGACTTTGCGAGTGCTCTAAAATGCAAACAGTGATTATCTTTGGGTGGAAGGGGAATTGGTTCAAACAGGATTTACACTTTTACTCTGTAATTCTGCATTAACTTTCTTGATTATGCAGTCATGTTAAAAAAAACACCTCAGGAAACCACTGTGGACCTGGCTTTATAGATGCCTAGGGAGGTCATCGCAAGTCTTGTTTGTGGCCCCAGAAATGCCATGCTCTCTTCTGTGTGGGGGCTCGAGGAGGAGGCCTACGGGGGTTCAGGGGGCTCCTCCAGTGTCTCCTGGCCGTGTCCCTGCCTGAGTCCCTCAGAGCCCAGGGGCCCCTGGGCTCCTTGCTGCAGTGGACAAACCATGGGTCTGTTCCCTGAAGGGCCCCTCCAAAGGAACGTTGCAAGGGGCGATAATCGTTTATGAGTTTCTGGTTTAATATTCAACCCGAATCTGAGGCCAGCTGAGAGAGGGTTGGCACTGTCCTGCCCCTTGTTCTATTTATGAACATGTTTATTGCCCGGAGAGAGAGCTGGTTCTTTTCATAGACAGGCTGGGCCTGGGGTCCCTCCAGAGGTGAGTGGGCAAGAGCCTAGAAAGGACGGTGTAAACCCTGCAGGTGATTCGCACGTGGAGGATGGTAGTGTGCAGTCCAGACACGGCCTGGAGGTGCAGTGGGCCTGCCAGCCTGGCCTCTGGCACCTGGGGAGAGGGCCCCTCATTGCCTTCTCACCCAGTATAGAGCGAATGATTTGACTCGTGTTGAGTTTTTTCTGGGAAAGAAGGTTCTAGCACTGGCAGCCGGCCTGGTCCCTCTGTGGGCAAGGCTTTTCCAGTGGGGCATGTCAAATGGACCTTATTTTAATTAATATTTTCTAAGGGGAAGCCCCTATAAAAACACTATGAATACATGTACGTGCAAAAGAACTGGAAGCAGGGGCCTGCCTAGCTCTTGCACACCCAAGGTTCCAGCAGCATTATCCATAGTAGTGAGAAGGGGGAACAGCCCAGCCATCCCTCAGCAGATGAGCGGATAAGTGAAATGTGTTCTGTTCATGTGGTGGAGTATTACTTAGCCATGAGGAGGGGTGAAATTCAGATAAGTTGAGGGGCAGGATGCATAGGATTTTTAGGGTAGTGAAACTGCTCTGTATGGCACTGTACTGTGCATACGTATCACTCTGTGTTTGTCAATACTCACAGAATATCACCAGGGGTGAACCCCCATTCATCTGTAGATTTGGGGTCACTCTGATGTGTCAATGCAGGCTCACCAGTTGTAGCACATGTCCCAGTCTTGTGGGGATGTTGACCAGGGGGAGACATGCATGTGTGGGCACGGGTGTGTGGGAATTTCTGTGCCTCCCGCTTCAGTTTGCTGTGAACCTAAAGCCACCCTAAAAGATGAAGCCTTACATCTGAATGAAATTCTGATAGATGCCATAAATACAGATGGACCTTGAGGACATGATGCTAAGCTAAATGAAATAAGCCAGACACAGGAGACCCCCATCTCAGTGTCATGAGGCCCCCGAGTGCTCAGATTCATAGGCAGGGAGTGTGTGGGTGGGGCAGGGAAGGGAGTGCTTGATGGGGCACAATTTCAGCTGGGGTGATGAGAAGGTTCCGGAAGGATGGAGGCAGTGGTTGCACAACAGTGTCAATGTGCTTAGTGCGCTGAGCTGTGTGCTTAACAATGGTTAAGATGGTACATTCTGTGTATACTCACCCACACACACTAACACCATATCGAGGTGTTTTCACAGGACATCTCACATGTATAGGCTTTACTGCATAATTCTTTACGGAAAGTAAAGTGTTCCTAAGATATTTGCTTCTTATATTTTCAGAATGTTCTAGATGCAAGAGAAACCAGACTGATGTGGTTGGTCATTTACCAAAACTCTCTGAAGCAAACCCTTGTGACATCTCTGGCCACTTGTAGAACCCTGGGCGGAAAGGTTAGTCTGAGGTGTGTGGGCTGACTGTTGTACTTTAGTGCTGAGAATGGTAGCCTTTGGCAAAAATAGATGTTAAATTGTGGTGCCCTGAACAGTAGACTCTGTCTCTCTGTCCACACATGGTGACCTGTCAGCCAGTCTCAAATAGCACATCTTCCCATTTTTCTGCATCTGCCCGAATCTCAGTAGCTGGCCCTCATGGAAAGACAGCCCCAAACCCCCATACTTCTGGCTCATTTGGACCCAGAACTGTTTTGTTTGGAGCTGTGACACCTTCCATTTATTTCTCAGCCCTGTATCTACCCCTCCCAGTGATTTTTCTCTGAAGTAGAGCCTGAAACTAGCTAGCATTACTAGAGAGTTAAAAGCCAGCTTCCACTTTCCACAGGACAGAGCAGCTATGTGTCTTCCTCCCAGCACACAGCTGGTTTAAGTTCTGCAGGTTTTGAGAACTGAAACGAAGCATCTCTTGACTTACTGGGGTCTTCGTGACCAGCAGCTGCATTTCGGGAGGCCCCAGGGTGGCGTGCGGGATCCTGTTGGGTCTCCCGACCCCAAGCAGAGTCAGGCCCTCAAAGTCCTTCTGAGAGCCCATCTCCAGCCTCTCATTACACAGGATCTGTGGGACCTGCTCAGATAACTTCATAGGCCCATGACAGGAAGTTTTACTCCAGAGTTCATAGTGCATCCTCAGAGTACCCACTTATCTCAAAGGAGGGGTCCAATAGTTCATAGAAAGTTTTTTTATTTTTTATTTAAAAAATGTTATTGAAGTATAGTTGATATACAATGTTACATTGGTTTAAGATGTACAACATACTGATTAAAAAAATTTTTTTTTGGTATCATTAATCTACAATTACATGAGCAACGTTATGTTTCCTAGACTCCCCCCATCATCAAGTCCCCCCCACATACCCCATTACAGTCACTGTCCATCAGCATAGAAGATACTATAGAATCACTACTTGTCTTCTCTGTGTTACACAGCCCTCCCCGTGCCCCTCTCTACATTATGTCTGCTAGTAGTAATGCCCCTTTTTTTTCCCCTTGTCCCTCCCTTCCCACCCATCCTCCCCAGTCCCTTTCCCTTTGGTAACTGCTAATCCATTCTTGGGTTCTGTGGATCTGCTGCTGTTTTGTTCCTTCAGTTTTTTCCTTTGTTCTTATACTCCACAAATGAGGGGAATCCTTTGGTACTTGTCTTTCTCTGCCTGGCTTGTTTCACTGAGCATAATACCCTCTAGCTCTATCCATGTTGTTGCAAATAGTAGGATTGTTTTCTTCTTATGGCTGAATAATATTCCATTGTGTATATGTACCACATCTTTATGTTCATAGAAAGTTTTTAAACAAATCTGTGCTTTCAAATGTGGACCTCTGTACTTTATATTAAGTGTGGTTTTTAATCCTACAGGATATGGGTTGGCAAATGGGTTAGCAGAAAAGCCACGAAGACAGCTGGGGATTTAGCTGCTCTTTGCCCACCGCAGCACAGGGCCCACCCTCCAGGTGCGCCCTGCACTATGGACTCCCCAGGGTATAACTGCTTCGTGGACAGAGCCAAGATGGACGCTGCCATCCAGGACCTGGGACCCAGGGAGCTGAGCTGCATGGAGCTGCAGGAGCTCAAGCAGCTGGCTCGCCAGGGCTATTGGGCCCGCAGCCATGCCCTGCGGGAGAGGGTGTACCAGCGCCTGATCCGGGACATCCCCTGCCGCACGGTCACTCCCGATGCCAGTGTGTACAGTGACATAGTGGGCAAGATCGTGGGCAAGCACAGCAGTGGCAGCCTGCCACTGCCCGAGTTTGTGGACAACACCCAGGTGCCCAGCTACTGCCTGAATGCACGGGGCCAGGGTGCTGTACGCAAGATCCTGCTGTGCATCGCCAACCAGTTCCCCGACGTCTCCTTCTGCCCCGCCCTGCCCGCCGTGGTGGCCCTGCTGCTGCACTACAGCATCGACGAGGCTGAGTGCTTCGAGAAGGCCTGCCGCATCCTGGCCTGCAATGACCCCAGCAGAAAGCTCATTGACCAGAGCTTCCTGGCCTTCGAGTCCTCCTGCATGACTTTCGGGGACCTGGTGAACAAGTACTGCCAGGCGGCTCACAAGCTCATGGTGGCCGTGTCGGAGGACGTGCTGCAGGTCTATGCTGATTGGCAGCGCTGGCTGTTCGGGGAGCTGCCCCTCAACTACTTTGCCCGCGTCTTTGATGTCTTCCTCGTGGAAGGTTACAAGGTGTTGTACCGCGTCGCACTGGCAATCCTCAAGTTCTTCCACAAGGTGAGAGCCGGGCAGCCACCGGAGTCGGCCAGTGTGAAACAGGACATCCGCACCTTTGTCAAGGACATCGCCAAGACCGTGTCTCCCGAGAAGCTGCTGGAGAAGGCGTTCGCCATCCGCCTCTTCTCGCGGAAGGAGATTCAGCTGCTGCAGATGGCCAACGAGAAAGCGCTGAAGCAGAAGGGCATCACAGTCAAGCAGAAGAGGTGGGCAGGCCTCGGGGGGGCCCTCGGGTGGGGTTCTGGCGGAATGCACCCTGGGGCTTGAGGCAGAGCTCCTCCTCGTCCTGCCAGCCTCCTGGTCTGCTTCTGGGAGAAAGGGCTTCCTGGCTGCAGCCACAGGCTGCTAAGGCAGCGTGGGGCCCGAGGGCAGGCCACGGCCTAGAAGGAAGCCGGACGCTGAGTGTGAGTCAGAAGGTCTAGTAGTCAGCCAGGCTGGCTGCCTTGGTCGTTGGGCAGCAGCCCCTGCTCCGCCCTCCCCTCAGCCCTGCACCCTAGCCGGCCCTTCTGGGGGCTGCTCGGCATGGCCCCTGCCCTGAGCACAGCCCCATGGGGAACAGGGGCAGGAAGGGCCCCCAGTGCCCCGAGGACATCTGGGTGGGTCACTGTGATGGGCTGTAGGTGCTGTGGCCTTCCTCCCCAGGGCCAGAGGCAGGCGCCCCCTGGGCATCTGTACCGACCCCTGACCTCTCCTTGTCGGTTTTGTTTTTCTTTTTCTCCGTGTCCGTTGCTTCCTCCTGTTTTTCAGTGTTTCACTCTCTAAAAGGTAGGTCTGGAGACCACGTCTCCACTGCGAGCATCTCCTGGCTGTCCCGGGCCTGGCTGCTGGCTGTGGCTCTCAGGGTTGGTTCAGCAGGGCTGTCTCAGAGCCTGGCTGACCTTCAGGCCCCACCTGTCTGTCTGTCTGTCTGCCTGCCTGCCTGCCTGCCTGCCTGCCCGCCTGCCCGCCTGCCCGCCTGCCCGCCTGCCCTCCTGCCCACCTGCCCACCCTCCTGCCCGCCTGCCCGGCTCCCTGAGTTTTGTGTCTGCTGGTGCGTGACTGGCTCTGAGGCATTGTCCTACCAGAGCCCACTTGCCCTCTGTCCCCATGCCTTAGAGAAAAGGTGCTTTTGTCTCCCAAGGCTGGGCACTCTCCCCTCTTTGTAAGGGGATTGGGGAGGGCCTCCAGGGGTCAGCTCTGTCCCCTTTCTTCTCGAACAGGGGGATTCCCTCAGGCCTAGCTCCCTTGAGAGGCTCTGCATACCTCTGGGGTGGGGGCCGAGGTCGGGGCTGAGCCTGCTGTGCTCTGAATCCCTCCCTGCTCTCCCCAGGCAGTTTGTGCACTTGGCCGTCCACGCGGAGAACTTCCACTCAGAGATTGTCAGTGTGAAGGAGATGAGAGACATCTGGTCCTGGGTCCCTGAGCGGTTCGCCCTCTGCCAGCCTCTCCTGCTCTTCTCCTCGCTGCAGCATGGATACAGCCTGACCAGGTAATGCCCCGGGGCCAGGGTGGCTGGACCTGCCCTCCCAAAGCCCCTAGGTATGGCCTTTGAGGACGTAGTAGGGGTGGAGTGAGCTGCCGAGTTGCCCAGCTCTGAGCCCTGCCCACACTTCTGGGGGACACATGGGGAGACCGGAAATGGACCTTTGAACCTGGGCACCTTGGGGGGTCTAGAACGAGGACCCCTTATTTGGGCTTCTCTTACTTCCAGGCCACCTGAACTTTAGGGTCATTGCTATGCATGGCACAACTCCAGGCCCTGTGCAGATGCCGTGGCCACACTGGGCGCTTACAGAGCCCCAGGGCAGGGCGACTTGCAGCCATGGGCCTGTGGGTCACTGCTCCCGACCCCTTCCTCACTGGCCCCCAGGTGGGTCCCATTGGCCCTGGGGGGCTGTGCTGGTGCTGGGCCCTGGACAGATCCAAGGCACCCAAGACACCCTGCCCAGGTGCCCCTGTGAGCCTCAGATGTCAGGTGGCCCCAGAAGTTCTGACTTGGGTCACAGGTGACCTGGCAGAGGTGATCCAGGCAGAGCTGGCTTATCCCTGTGCTGCATGGGAGGTCTGCTGAGGGGTGCTGGGCAGGGCCACCAGGGGTGCCAGCCAAACCTTGGCACCCAGCACCACCACAGTGGCTGCCCCAGGCCTCCTCAGACTTCCTGGTGCTGCCCAGGGCCACCAGGGCATTCTGAGCTTCCAGGAACAGGGACTTGTTTCTCTGGCTCCCGCTTCCCCGAAGCACCTGGCACATGGCTCTGCCTGCTGAAGGCATCTGCCACATGGCTTCTCCCCCACATCACGCCAGGGTACACAGTCCTGGTAGGCTGACCACTCGGCCTTCAGGCTGCCTGGCATGGGTGCCCTCTTGGCTGAGAAGAGTGCCCAGCCCAGGTGTTGCCAGGCCCCTGGCCGCTGTGCCCAATCCAGAGGAAATAAAGAAACAGTGTCCAGACCCATCCACCAGCAGCCCCAGTTTCTCAGATACCATGGCTGTCAGTCAATGCATTCTGGCCAGATGAGGCGCAGGAAGGGGTGCAAGGCTAACTCATGCTCTGTGCCCCCAGGTTCTATTTCCAGTGTGAAGGACACGAGCCCACCCTCCTCCTCATCAAGACCACACAGAAAGAGGTGAGGAGGGCGCCCGGGGTCCTGGCGTCTCCTGCGCTCTGGGGCATCTGCTGCCCCCATGCTGCAGGGGGCAGGTGCTGCGCAGCCCCCACTCAGGCTTCCTGGGCTTGGGGGTGCAGAGCAGAGCCAGCTCCTCAGAGAGGTGAGTCCTGCCTCCCTGGCTGACCTCCAAGCCTCCAGGGCCCTCTCATTGCCCCCAGGAGTCCAGGCACCTGCTGACATGGCCTGGTGGCTCAGCCGGGAGCCTAGTTTAGGGGGCAGGAATGCCTGGTGCGTGAGGCCCCACCTCCTCTGGCCGCAGCAGGTGGGGTCAGGGACCTCTCAGGGCCCCTGCACAGCTTCCCCTGGAGAGTACCTGAGACATCAGGACAGGGCAGAGCTCATGAGCCCATCCCAGCAGGTCTTCATGCAGTGGAGGCTCCCAAACCCACACCTGTGGAGCCCCTCGCCCCATTACAGACCCTGTCCTGGTCCAGGAGGAGCCTGGGCATCTGTGTCCCAGCAGGTGACTGACTCAGACACCTTGGGCCAACCCCATGGCCCCTTAGAGGACTGAGTTGAATGGTAAGATGGAGCCCTGAGCTGGCTGTGAGCCAGAATGTTCTCAAGCATGGGCACCTCCGGGAAGCTTCTGTCTGCAGGGTGTCCCTGGGCAGATGCCCCAAATCAGAGTGGACGTGGGCTTGTTTCCATCTTGAGAGCCAAGGAGGGAAATGAGTATCCCAAATGGACTGGTGAGGGTGGAGGCAGCCCCACCTGCCCCCACTTGGCCTTTGTTCACCGCTCTGCACCTCCAGCCCTTGCTCTCATGTGAGCAGGGCTCTGCTCCGGAGATCCTGTGGGGGGCAGATGCCACCTCACCCTGGCCTTTCTCCCCAGGTCTGCGGAGCTTACCTGTCAACAGACTGGAGTGAAAGAAATAAATTCGGGGGCAAACTTGGCTTCTTTGGGACTGGGGAGTGCTTCGTGTTTAGGGTGAGTGGATCTCCCTGGGGGAGCCTGGGTCAGCAGGCCCACCCTGTGCTCCCTGCCCCCTGACCCTGCTCTACATCCATCATACAGTGGCCACACAGGGTCACCTCCCAATGCCCTGCTGGGTTGTGCACCTTGGACCTGCTCCATGAGAGCAGGTGGGCGCCCTCTGCCTGCCACAGCACCACGTTCCCACCTGCTCTGGAGCCTCACACACAGGGGGCTCCAATGAAGACGGCGGGTGGCGGGTGCAGGGGGAAGAGGAGCCCGCAGGCACTGAGTGCTGAACTCTCATGCTGCCCTCCCACCTTCAGCTGCAGCCTGAGGTCCAGCGTTACGAGTGGGTGGTCATCAAACACCCAGAGCTCACCAGGCCAGTGTCCCTGGAGACCACCACCCTGTCCCCGCTCTGCCACTCCGCATCCTCAGAGCCCACTGACCGCCTCTCACCTTTCCTGGCTGCCCGGCACTTCAACCTGCCCTCCAAGACCGAGTCCATGTTCATGGCCGGGGGCAATGACTGCCTCATCATAGGTGGGCGCTGCCCCCCTCCTCAGGCCGGGCCCCTGCCTGCCCTTGGTCACTAGCCTGGGAGGAGGCCATGGGGCTGTGCGCAGCTAAACCAGCGCAGGTGGCAAGTGCCACACCTGAGGGACGGGTGGGGGAAGGGAGTGGGATTGCTGGGGGAGGAACAGGCAGGAGGGATGGAATGGGGACAGGAGGGTGCATCTGGGGGCTGGGCTGGGAGGTGCGGCATGCCTGGAATTTGGGGATTGAAGGCCAGCCCTGTGGCTACAGAGAGGCCTCCGGCAGGGCTGGGGCAGGCCCAGCTCTGAGACTCGCCCTGTGCGAGTAGAGCTCAGGAGCAGAGGAAGGCACCACAGGGCAAGGCTGGACAGAGGCACCACTGACCCCGGCACCCTGCAGGCGGAGGCGGCGGCCAGGCGCTCTATATTGATGGGGACCTGAACCGGGGCCGCACAGGCCACTGCGACACTTTCAACAACCAGCCTCTCTGCTCAGAGAACTTCCTCATCACTGCCGTGGAGGCCTGGGGCTTCCAAGACCCTGACACTCAGTGACGGGCCTATGCCAATGGTGAGCCCCCTGTGCTATAGGTGCAGGGTGAGCCATAGGTGGGAGGGGCTCTGTTTAGGGTGAGTAGGTCTCCCTGGGGGAGCCTGGGTGGGCAGGCCAAGCCCCCATGACCCCACCATATGGTCATCCCACAGGACCACCTGGTCCCTTCTGGGCTGCAGTGGTAGGACCCCTTTTCAGGAAGGAGGCAGTGAATGGAGATCCCCTACCACGTGCATGGGCAGCATCCAGTGCGGCTGGGGCTCTGGCTGGTGCCCCTCCTGGGCCTGCTCAGACCTGCCCATACTTGCCATGGCCTCCACCTGAGACTCCGGCCCTGGCTCTCCTGGAAGCATCCTGTGCCCAAGATTTGGGCGCAGCTGCATCTTGCCGGCTAAGCCTTAGTGCCTCGTTGGAGGGGGACTGGAAATGCAGAAGGGACCTGCCCCCGTTGTGTGTCCATGGCTCCCCCTGCTGGTGCCTCTTAGCATGGCTCCTGAGCAGGGCCTTGCAGCCACCGGGGGCCTGACCCGTGGCTGGGGGCTGGCTTCCAGAGGAGATGGGCACCCTAGGGGCTGCTCCTTGCAGGACCTTCCTCCCGCCCCAGGAGCATCAGCCTGGAGCTTCTGACCCAGTGGCCTTCTCCCCCGCTGGCCCCTGGGGCTGCCTTGTAGTAACTGCAGGGGAGCAGGGGAAGGCCTGCTTTAGCTGAGCTCTAGGCCCCCACAGAGGGCTGAGGGCCAGTGGGATGACGGGCTGGAGGGGACACCACGCCTGCTTGGGTTTCTGCAGGGCCTGAAGCCTTTGCTGAGCCTCAACGTGGGCTCATCTGAAGAGGCCGCCTAGGATGGCCACGGAAGGGTCCTCTGTGACTGACCCCAGACCAGCCAGCTGCATTTCCAGAGGCCTGTCCAGTGAAGCCGGAACCCAAGGGGGCTTCTTAAGACCCCTCCTCTTGCGCCTGGGGCCTCCTTAGCTGCCCTGCAGTCTCTGTGGCAGCCCCAGGAGCTGGTCCAGACCCCTCAGCGTGGCATGCTCATCTTGGTCCAGCCCTGTCCACCTCTCCTTCAGGCCTCAAACTCCTGCATGCTGGGTGCCGGGCTGCACCCCCGCAGCTCCCTGCCCATGCAGCACCTTCCCCACTCACCCCTCCCCTCACAGCATGTGTCCTGCCTCTGCATCCCTCGCAGGGCGGTGCTGTGGTAAGCCACGTAGCTTGGCAGTTGTGCTGCCACCTCTCCCTTCTTCCCCACCCCACCCCGTCCATGCCCTAGGCACGGTAGGTGCCAAGGGAAAACTTGCCAGTCTCCCACCCCATGACCTCCCTCAGTTGGTCCTGAGGGCCTGGGCACCCCAGAAGGAGGAGGGGAAGGCTGGGGCCCTGGCTGCCTGAGCTACAGGTGCTGGGGGTCATGCTCCCTATCCAGTCCCCACTTGGCTCCAGCCAGGCCCCTCAGCACCCCAGGTGCCACGCCCCTGCTGTCTCCACATCCTGCTTGCCCTTCCCATGGACACTGGTTCTCCCCGCCCCTGCTCAGATCTCCCAGCGGGGCTGCAGTGGTGCAGGAGGAAGCACCAGGAGCCGGTGTGGCTTTGAGCTAGCCAGTGAATCTGCCTGGAACTCAGTTTCCCCAACTGTAAAATGGAGCCAGTCATCCTGCTCTTCTGTCCCCACGGGACTGTTGAGAAGCTCAGAGGGGGACAGTGCAAATCCCTGGTGAGGGGAGAGGTGCTGGGAGGTGCTGTCACTGCTCCCCTCCCCTCCAGACCCCTGCAGCCCTTACCGTCCCCTTCCTCTGGGCCCCCAGAACTCTCCTGTACTGCCGACTTTGGTGTTCATTAAACACGGTCTCATTACATGAATCCCAGGGCTCCAAGTCTGGTCTCTTCAACCAAAGGGGCCTCCAGGAGCTCCCGCAGGCCATCAAATGGGGTGCAGGAGGCTATAGCCCCATGACGCTCATCCATGCTCTCTCACTGCGATGTTAAAGGCCTTTTAAAGTCAGCCTTTCAGCTTTCAGAGGGTGGAGACAGAGTGTTAAAGAAGAAAAAAAAAGCCAGAACATGGCCTTTCAGAAGCAGTGGAAGGTATATTTGAGCACTATTTGCATGGTTTCCTCTGCAAAATTCTTGAACCTGGAGTTCTTTTTCTGGTGAGGAAATGCAGAGGATTCTCTGGTTGCCCCAAGGGCTCCTGTCCAACCTTGCAGAGATCCAGCCCAGGGAGAGCAAATGCTCTTCAGTCTGGATTCCTGTACATGAGACCTTTGTGTGCGCGTGCAAAATAGTTTCTTCCTCAGATTTCTGCCAATTTAAATGGTGCATGTGATGATTATCTGTATTCTTTAGTTCTTATTGTCTTTTTAAATGTTAGGTGCTCCCACATAGAGCATAATTTATTTTGTTAATATTCTCCATTACTTCTTGTGTACTAGTTTTTGATGTTAAAAATTAGCCAGTTTTATGGAATTGCATAATGAATGATCACTTGTTT